GTACCGTGGAACGAAGTTAGAGGCGAAGAGAGTGATTGCCGTTGGACGTAGGAGCAGGGCCACCGGCTGGGGAATAGAGGAACGCCGGAGAGAAAAGGCTAAACAAGAAGGGGATGCGCGGGCAGGGGGGGAAATGCATTGGTCGCCGGACTGGAAGAATCAAAGGGAAAGGTGGACGGAATCGGTGGACGAATTCGTTGATAAGAGGAAACCCGTGTAACTGGATTTTCCGATTAATCCTCGCGACCGCTGACCCGCCGGTTATACCTACTTTGGCGCTGGGTTATCGCATTAGCCGGGGAGGGAATGCCATTTTCCACGGTGAAACTTCAAAGGAGTGTAAATGTGTTGTCGTACGGCGGAATCGCAGACTCGACAAAAGACGGGATAATTTCGTATGCACCGATCCGATACCCCCCTTGCTCCCGAGCCACTTCCGTGCGAACAGATTCGGGAGGGGGGAATGTTTGATGCGCGCAAGTTGCATAAATCGTTACTCGATTTCTTTATTGTTGCCCAACGGGTCGGTAGATCTTTTCTAAGAACTTAGTTACACTTTCCAATGTCCATTGTCTCGTTAGAACGATGTTAGTTTCTTAAATTATAGCGATAGGTCGACAAGACCCGTCACGCACCGGCGATCATTGTATCGAGAAAGCATATAGCAGGAGTTTAGTTTAAGATAAACTATTTTATCGGAGGCGGTGCTCCAATTTACTTTCACTTTGTAAAATTAAAAAGGCGAATAATTCACGGCGTAGGAACGATCGTTTGAAAATTGACTCGCGGAAGTCACAGGTGCAACTTCCGGAGTCATAACCAGCACACGCACGAGGCACTGCACCCACTACTCCCCTCTTTTGTCTTGACTGTAATTCACATTCACGGATCAAGGTTAGAGTGTAATCACCATTGTTATCCGACCTACGCGTTTCTAGCTTTTGGAATAAAGTTATAAAAACAGACGTTGGACGGTTCGAAACGCATCGTTGCATCATTTGCATACGTTTAAACTCCTACGATTAACGGGTTAGGTCCGACGAGCAATTTCTTGTTCCCTGACAAATAAAAAAATTCGATCGAAACAGCGGATTCGCATCTCCGCTCGATTTCGCGTTGTTCTGGAACTCGAACGCGATCCCCGGGTAAAGCAAAAACCGAAAGAAGGGAAAGGATAGGTGTAGGATCGAGCGACAGTAAAATAGACAAGAGATTCCGAGAGTGAAACGCTAGCTTCGCTGGAAGTGGTACGTAAAAGCGTGACGAGGAAAGGTAGAGGACGATGGGGAACGAGAGGGGGAAACGGTGCAGGGAAAATAAGAAAAGAGAGCAAATACCCGAGCGGAGAAGCAAGGAGAGAGAAGGGTACAGTGCTCGATGGAACCGCGCGGAGATCGTCCAAGCTTTGGTGCACCTCCGAGAGGAGGAGCCACCTGCAAGGACAATACGATCGACGCGATCCACAGGAACTTGGCCTCCCGATCCTATCGCCTATAGATCGCTCGATCGGGCACGCACGCGATCCGATTCGCCTGGAAAAACCGACCCAACGTCAATTATTTTCAGAATTCGAACATAACAATAATTTCCAGTATCCTAAACCACACAAGTCGTTGGAAAAAAAAAGGAACTGGATAAATTTCGTTTCAACTTCTGTTAAACGTACGCACGGTAGTGCTCCGATTATAGACGCGTTCCCGTCTCCGTAGTAGACACGGAGTCGTCCCCGTTCCTCGGAGTTGCTTCGGTCGAGCAAGCCGTCGCACTTTTTATTACACTTTGCTGACGTATGGCACCGTCAGCGTCAGCGAACCAGTCGAACGTCGACGTTCTTTCCGTCCCGTACGAGCTTATTGTTTCTCGCTCTCTTTAAACAGCGAGCAAAGCGAAAACAAGATAACGTCTGCACTTCACAGAACACCTCTACTTCCCCCGCCAGTCGTCGCGACGCGCTCCAGACATGCTACACTATGTATGCACCTAAATTTAAACACGAAACAACGATTTCAATTTTGAATACCTCGACGGGTGCAGACTGCATAAAAATAAAAATTCTACGGACTCGGTGACCCGATTTGTGCCAGGATTTTTCGAACGTGGGGGTTCACGCGTTACGTCGGAGGACGCGATTTCGAGCGGAAAGGGGCAATTTGGGGGGGGGGTGGAGGGTACCAGGTAGGCGAGATCGTAGCGACGGTCTGACGGTCGAACGGGGCCTCCCGCGGGTCCGTAGAGATTCGAGAATCGATAAAAAGAGGAATTTCATGGCACGATGACCGTCATTCAGCCAGCCGGAGGGTTTAATGAACGGGCGAGTGCGTCTCTCCTTCTCCTGGCCGAGGTCCGCCGGTGCTTCTCGGTCGACGGAGTGCGTCGTTGCGTAAACGCAGTGTCGGAAGGGAATCGTAACGTGGAAAGGTCAGTGTCTTTCTTTCTCTCATGACGTCGGAAGGCCGGTACGAATACGCCTCCGAAAATATCCTCGGCCGCGAAAACCATCGAGATACGCCGATCGAACGCGACGACGTCCTCCTTTCCACCGCTCCTCTTTACTCGGACCAGCGATCGCGAATTTACGAGCCCGAAAGTATTTCGAGATTTTCACGCCTCGATAGTTCCTTGCACGCCACATTGTTCGATGATAAAATAAAACACGAAACGCGTAATTTTTCTTACGCTACCCGCTAACGTTAGATCGTTGCTCGTTTTGCTATTCCCTTTCCTTTTTGATCGCCCGAGCAATTTCAAATTAACCTTTCGCACTCCGGGCGGTCCCGCACAGTTCCTTCGGCTTCTTGCGTGCCTATCTCGCCCCGTGCAACTTACGGTTAGGCTTCCTACACTTATTTCTCGACAGCTACTACAAATATCTCCGTAAACGTTTCGCGGATTATTTCACGGCGAGAATTCCGTTAATCGCCGTCTTCGAAACGATTTAAATCCCTCTTGGTCATTTTTTTAAGCTTCTCGAATGTCCTTTGATAAAATTTAATAACTTTGGAACGAGAAAAGAAGAGGAAGTCGAAAGTCGCGACCGCGTGGATTATTGCAAACGAAGCTGCAGCGCCAAGCAATGCGTTTTGCTAGCAGATGTAAAAAAAATGCAACGGCGGCGTTGCACTGGCGCGCGAACTTCGTTCCAGTATGGTATTTTTCTTCTGTCGATACGCGTTTTTCGCAACAGGGTTTCGCGTAACGCGGCTGTGTTTCTGTTTCGCGAGCTGATCAGGAATTCGCGCGTGTTCCTTTGCCACGTGCACTGCCGGGGATCGATACTCTCGTCCCTCTGGAACGGAACCGAACCCGTCTTGCTTCGGGAAAATTTCATTGTTTCGAATCCACTTGGAGGCTTCCCTGGCACGAGCTAATTTTTAGTCGATCAACGGACGCTGAACAAAATTACGTCGTTTACGCGATTTATAATCAGCTTTAAAAAAATGTTTACGGAGTATGCCAAGGATCCTTCTATTTCTAGCACCGTGTAACGAATAATTTGGTGCTTGGAACAAGCAACGAACAACCTGACGCATTGTATTCAGCGGTGATCTAATATACCCATTCGGTTGTCGTTTTGTATTCGCTCGCGCTGTCGAATATTAAATGCTCCAGCAATTTGTATGCGACGTCGAATACCGAATACATTAATTTGTATTCGGTATCTGATTAGCAAAGAATACTTTGTTTCGCTGACGAGTAAAAAAGTACATCGCTGTTTCATATCCGAGTGCATATGGAACTCGTGTCGTGTTCGCTATAAATAACACTGTTAAACCATGTCCTTCGATTCACGCTCAACACGGGGTTCATGTTAGGGAAACGTTCTTTTTTTCAATTCTCACTTCTACGCGCAAGCCCTACCATAAGCCCCCTAACATTTGGAGAAAGTTGACCTGCACGTCGACAAACAACGACAACTTTCTTCAACGTCCGCCAGCGACGTTTTCGTTCCGACGTGACATGCACCCCCTTCCAAGGGCAACTTTGCAAGGGTGCTTTTGGAAGGGAGGAGACGGCGTCGAAGCATCTCAAAAACTCAGTTCGTTACCAGAGGCGAACCAAACAACATTCATTACACTCCCACATCGCTAACCAAACACATCATACATTGTTCTTAATCGTGACTCCACTACCCTCCATTCGGAATATTAATTTATTTCGTTGGATTGTACTCGGATCCAACCGATACCGCGAGCCGCGACAACAAATAAATCGTTATACGCCGGTTCTATTCTGCTGCCCATTATTCGAACAAACAATGGAGAGGTTGTATTTTAAGACGGAGTACGAATTAATAAAGTATTCGAGATGCATAACACGTGTTTGGAGCCCGTTTGTAGGCCTGTATCTTTCTGGGAAACGGACGGGGGCGGTGATGGACGAGCAGGCGGCGTCGTTTCGAGAAAGTCGCGGGTTTCGGGACGGCGTTAATTCTCCTCGTTCCCGTAATCTTTCCCTTTCTGGTTCTCCTTTTCCTCCGGTTCGCGCAACTTGCAAATCACCGAAACGCCGAGGACGAACGAGCCCGACGGCTCGTGCCACTGCCGGGCTTCCAAAACGGCGGGCCAATTGCCAATGTCTGACCCTTGAATTAGGTTTGCGCTGCTAGCAACGCCATTACTCGGTAACTGTCCAATTTCCTCGTGGCCGTTTCGTTCCAGGTCTACCGTCCTTCGCGATTCCCGAATCGCTGGTTTCGAGAAAACCCAAAGAGCCAACTTCCACGCTTGTTCTTATCGTCCATCGGGGTCGAAGGTCATTGGAACGCGGTATGCTTCGTTCGTTTCTCTGCCAAGACTTTCATACTTGAAGCTCTTCAGAAATGGGCAAACAAACCTTTGATTTTAAAGGAACCTGTTATAATACTCGTGCACCTTCGTCTCATTCCGATATGCAAATGCACCTCTGCCCCAACTATGCTTCCCGAGTACCTCGACTGTATTCTTTGCGTGAAACGTGTACCATGATCGAGGGTGACCCTAACGAGTATCGTTGATTTCCAGTGGCGTGGCAGTGTCCTGCGGAGAGTGCAGCAGCAGCGGTACCAGCGACATCACGGAGCCGGGATCCCCGTGCAGCACGAGCAGCGACGAGGGGGTAGCGATACGCGGCGCTTCCGCCAGCCCATTTCCGTCCTTACCCAAGCTGGTGCCGTCCCCGCAGATCGGTACCAGGCCCCAGTGGCCCTGGACCCCGCCTCTGGCAGCCACCGCCTGCTCGACCTACAAGAGGCTCAGAGGCGAGCCCGAGGCTGGCGCCTTACCGAGGTCCGGGGCCGCGGATCCAACCTTCAGAGGTACCACCAAGTCCAACACCAAGCCTAACGTCGGTCAACATCATCACGAGTCTCAAGGGAAGATCACGGAGTACTTCAAGACTCAGATCAAACCGCAACAACCCAAGGTAAACCTACCCTCGAACGACCTGGTCTCACCAGTTAGATCCACAAAGATCGCATGTATCTTAAGCTTAGAAACGAATGTTGTGGACGCGTGGAACGTTTGTCGACAGATCAAGAAGAACAGCGAGACGATGTCGGTGTTGGTGGCGAAGAGCTCGTCAGAATTCAGGAGGCCGCCCACGGTACAGAGGAACAAGGGAGGGCTGGCCAAGTATTTGGGGACGGTGTCGACGAACGGTCGTAACGCGACGAACAACGACTGGGAAGTGCGGACGTTGACGATGTCGCCGCCGCCGACGAAGAAACCGCCATCGGTAATCGTACCGAGGACCAATGGTAAGATGGACAAGAAGTTAACCAAGCCGGTGCCCAGTTTGCCGATCTCGAACGATGTGCTGAAGAACATATCGAGCTGCAAAATCTCGTCTATCAGGTAAGGTGATCGCGTCCGGCAAGGTATGCCGAGCGCGAAACTTTAACCCTCTGTTCGTCCAGATCGTAGCGAATTCCAATACATGCCCGTAACCATCGACACTGCGTCTGTCGAGGTAGGTTTCACAACCTATGTCTCGTTTCTCAAATTGTTAAGTGAATATCAGTATTCCTTCTTTTTTTAGTTATATTGTTATTTGACACGAGGTATATGGCAGCAAGGGATGAAGTACGGCCCCGGATACCCGGAGGCCGACACTCTAATCATTTCCACTATCGTGTAGGTTGACGTCGGAAACGATCCCTAATGCAAAGAACGCAACGCCGATTTCCTCGCCGCCGCCAGCTTTGACCAGCGAGGCGGTGCCTCTCGATTTCAAGGGATGCATACCCTCGAAACCGCACGTGAACGAGAACAACAACCTGACGAACGGCTGCGGGAACATCCTGGGCTCGTTGAGGTCCAGCCAGGACCCACTGTCGAGGCTGATCGTGCCTAGCAACACCGAGACCAAGGAGACGAGGGTCAGCCCCGCGGACGAGGACGACGTCGAGGAAGAGGAGGAGGACTCGAGGAGCAGCGAGTCCAAGCCACCGCTGTCGCCGATACTCTCGGCCCCGACCACCATACGATTTCCAGCCCGAGAACCGGAGAAGGACAGGCAGCAGGCCACCGACAGCGGTGTCTGTCGATGGGACAAGTGCGAGGAGAGCTTCGAATCCAGCGGCGGACTTTTGGAACACTTACAGGTGCGAATATCGAATTTTCGAACATTTCTCGTCGCGCAAGCTGCGCGTTTCGACGTCGATCGGGCGTACAAATAAAGTCGTATAAGAAGGTGGTACACGAAACGGAGGCCGTAATTCTCGGCCGGTCGACAAGTATACCGTTCACCCCTATCGTGTCTGCTCGACCCATAAAAATATTACACGCGGCAAGCCGAGCAAGGAGTGGTTCGGGTTAAACGTTTCCCTTTCGATGAATTTCTTACGCCGGTTTTTTCCCGACTTTTTCCTCCCCCCCGCGCGTTGACGTTTGTACGTTTATGTAATGGTACATGGGTTTACAGGACGCGATGGGTGTCTCGAACAAACAGGCAAGCAGCAGGATGCTCTTATCGGAGCGATCGCTTCCACGTAATACGAGCGTAGTGGAATTAATGAGGTTCGCGTATCGAGTTTCGTAGTTTTTTGTTACATTGTTGCTGTTCCTGCAGGATACCAAATACGTGTCGGGGTCTCATTTTTGTCGGTTCTTTTTTCGGTTTTGTTGCCCCGAATGATATTGCAACACCCGTGGCTACCGCGTACGCGAGGAATACGGTTTCTTCTACCGACATTTTACCACCTTATCGATCGACGAATCGATCCTGACGACCGCCGGAAAATTAAATCATCGATTAGACAGATTTCGCCAGGAAGAATCGTAATGTGCGTTCTTGGTTGCGTCACGCGCGATTATCTTAACATCCTGCATCGAATTGTTGTACAAGCATCCGGAATCTCGCTGAGAGATTCCTTATGGACACTGGGGCCCGATCCGGGGTGCAGAAATTTTTCGACAAAATTAAAAAATTTCAAATCGTCTTAAAAAAATTATTTTTAGTTGCAGGGGTCGATTACAATCATTTTTTGTAAATAGACACACCCTCGAAATCCTAATCACTTTCGAGAAAAAAATTCGAGTAGGTGAGAAATTTTTCGACAAAATGAAAAAATTTCAAATCGTTTTAAAAAAATTATTCTTGGTTGCGGGGGTCAATTCCAATCATTTTTGGTGAATACACATACCCCCAAAATCCTAACCACTTTCGAGAAAAAAATTCGAGTAGGTGAGAAATTTTTCGACAAAATTAAAAAATTTCAAATCGTCTTAAAAAAATTATTTTTAGTTGCAGGGGTCGATTACAATCATTTTCTGTAAATAGACATACCCCCGAATTCCTACGCACTTTCGAGAAAAAAATTCCTTGCCGGAAATACAATTTCTGACCATAAATGAAATTTCAAAAATTTTTAAAAGTCCTAACTTATATTTTATACAAGAATATATAGAAATTCTAAGAATATTGGAAAAGTTTTTCCTTGACACCGTAAACTGAGAAAAAAATTCTTCATCGAATATATCGTGAAAAAATCCATTGCATGTAAGGTCTACTCGTATACCTCGTCTGTGACGCTACCTTCCCTTTTAAACCTATTCACTGTTAAGGTTAAGGTTTCAAAGGGTGGACAGTGGATTTTCACGGATCGGATGATTTATTATTATTATTATTATTATTCATTTATTAACGGGTAATTAAACCCTTTAGTACAACGATGTAATATCTAAGGAACTACAGATGTGGATTTTACATAGTCAAACATTATCGCTTAGTGAACGTAACAAGAATAAATTAATTTACAATACGTTGCAAGGATAGTTTTAGACTTTCTAATGATTGTTCAATTAAATCTGTTTTTGTGTGTGCGAAATTTACATTACTAATCATTCTGTTTACACAATTCTGAGATCCAAACGTTGTGCGGTAAATTTCAGGGTAAAAAAGAAAGTGATTTCTTAAATATCTAGACGGTACATACAATTTAATAGATGGAGGAACGAACGAACAATTGAAACGAATAAAACTTGTTTCCAGACGGCGCACATCAACACGCAAACGGGCGGCGACAATTTCGTCTGCCAGTGGCAAGGGTGCAAAGTGCAAGGGAGAAGTTCTTGTTCGCGTAGATGGTTGGAGCGTCACGTCCTGTCCCACGGCGGCAACAAACCGTTCCGGTGCATCGTGGATGGCTGCGGCAACAGGTTCAGCTCACAGGTATTGAGTTGTATCAGTGATCATGATATCTACGGCGTGTAGCAACCGTTACTGTGCGCGAAAGTATAACGGTTGTTCGCGCAAATGTCGACAGAGAACGTTTAGACGCACGTCTCTCGCGCGAAGTTAGTGACACTGTTCGGTATAGCGTTCACTAAAAGGTATCGTTATAGTCTCCCCCCAAAGAGCCCAATGACATTTCCTGATGACGAGAATCGAATAATAACATGAACTAATTACACCCTTTCTCCTTTCATTAAGCCGTGGAACACCATCCGACGTCTCGATGTTTTTTTAAATATTATTCACCCGATGTCACCGACGTTGGGTAACGTATTTAGCGTCTAAACGAAGGATTACGCACCGATTCTGTCGATATTAGCCTTTGGATCGTACAGTATCGATATATCGAAACCACGAGAAAAGTCATTCGACGCCGAGGTCTTCGTATCGCTAAATTTCCTACCTTGATTCGGGCACGAGGTCGATTGCTTGTTAAACTCCGCGTAGTCCCTTGGGTTTTCGTCCATAGAGAATAAGTGGATTCGTGCCGGTTAAGACCCAAATAACGAAGTTCACTCTTCAGCCGTTCAGTCACCTGATCCCCTGAATATGGTCCTTCACGTTTGCGAGAAATCTTTTTCGTCTTAACCGTGGCCGCGTGATCGAAACGAACAACCTGTCTGTCCGTTTGTATCTTCGAAGCTGAGCATTTTCCAGGAACAGCTATAAATTATGATCGCGGAAGAACCCTCGGAAGGTCCAAGCTCGTTTCTTCTCTTCTCTTCTCTTCTCTTCTTCCTTTTATGATCGATGCACTTTGCCCTCGCTATCAGCAGAGTTCGACTCGTCGTCGTCGTACTTTGCACGAGGCTCTCTGCTCGGCGCGTTTTTGTCTCGACGGTTCTCGGATTCCTACATTCGATCGGAAGCACGCTTTCCCTGGAAAGTGCTGAAATTCAGGGTCCTAACGGTGCTATCGTCTTTTCAGACTGCTCTGGAGAGGCACGTGAACGGACATTTCAATCAACCTGAGACGAGCAACAACAGCGCTAGACGGAGTTGCGAGAGCGGCGGAAAGTTAGTCAGAAGGAACGGCAAACGGCTCAGATACAGGCGACAACCCTGGTCGGGTAAGTCTTTCTCCATCGAGGCTCATTTTCATTCGTCCACGCAGCTTTCTCTCGTATCTTCATGTCGCTGTTTCGTTCCTTGCAGCGAGACTTTTCGACTACTTCGACACGGGAGTGATGGAAGGTCTCCAGCACAGATTGCTCCAACTGGCAAAGTCGAGGACGCAAGGTCGTCTCGCCGAGACACCGGGAAACTCGATCGCCCTAACTAGTCAAGTAAGTCTGAACTAATATTCTGGGGTTAGGAAATACAGACCGAGCAAAACTACCACACAGACGCAGACTGCTGTCCAGGCTATTCGAGTCTCTCGAATTTCTTTTTCTCGTCGACAGCAACGAATCAAAATACGCGTTTCTTTACAGGTATTAGCTCGAAGAGTGGAAATGGACGGGAAGGCTAAGGTTCTGTTGCGGTGGCACCCTACGGATATGTAAGTAGTCGACGACTGTCTGGTGATTAGTTGGGTCCCGGAACTGTAATACCGTATGTTCTAACAGCAAGCCGGACGAGTGGGTGCTCGAGTCCGAAGTACAAAGCACGGAGAACGTGGAGATACGTAAAGTGTCGGCCAGCAACCCGGAAGAGGTGAGTGTGGCACTTTATGCCGCCGTGAGCGGCGGCACGCCGCCATTGACGCGGGTTAAGCAGCGCCGAAAACCGACCAAGAACTCGTGATAATGTCGATCACGGTGATCGAGGACAAGCGCGACGAAGCAGCAACGACTAAGCCAGAGAACGAAATAAGGACGAGTCCTGTATCAGGACGATTGTGCTTCCTGGTCTGTGTAGAAAGGAGCCTGGCGAGAGAACCAGAACCTGAACGTGTCCAGAGGAATACCGGAGTAAGACGTGTGATGTCCGCACGATGGAAGTAGCGAAACGTTCCGAGCAGAATCGAACGTCGTAAGAACCCGAGAGTATCGTTCGAGAACGAAACAGAACACGGACGATCGTACGAGTCCGTGAGAGGAGCTTACGTTTACGGATAAGAACGCGAATAAGGAGGGACAAAACAACGGACAAACATTAAAGATGTAGCAAAGAGTACACGAGATGAGAAATGAAATAGTACAGTCTAATTTATTTAGCCTAAAATCCATCGGCCGTTAGGTAAATATATAGTAGTCGTGGATAGCGATGAAATGATATTCTTGTTGCCTATCGATACCAAATTTTCCAAACGTTTGGGGTTGTTTCCTGCCACGAGTGCCTGTTGACAACGACGACACTCGTCGGACTCGGAAGAGCTAGGCTTGGGCCTCAAAAGTGCCTCACCGTGGATGCGTTTTATATCGTTGACTGTCGTGCAAGACCAATCGTATAGACGGCGGAGTTGAATTTAAAAATGGGGGAAAAAAATACAAAAAAAAGTAAAATAAATAATAAAGAAGAAATCAATGACGCGATGACGACGACGGGGATTTTACGTAGGAATACTCGACGCGTTGAGCGGAAGAATAATAAAACGTGAGAGAATCGAACAAAAACTGTTTAAACGTTAGTTAACGACTGTAAGGAGATAATCACTCTGGTGGCCTTAGGAATCAATTAATATCTAGCAACGGCCCCTTGGCGCTTCCGGGCCCTGTTTTAGTACCCCGTGACAGAAGCCAGAAGAAAAGGGGTGGAGAAGGGAGACGTGAAACGCGCGGACTTCTTCGACACACCCTCGACCCTCGACCAACTTTCAGAAGGAGATGTATCTACCTCTATTTTCAGCTCGGTAGAAATTCGTGTTGGCCGTTGTCGTACGACAGAGGAGGAGGAGGAGGTGGAGGGAAGAGGCAGATAAAAAGAGAAGGAACAAGAAGAGGAACGAAAACAAGGGGGCGTGCGCGCGTGGGCAGCGTCCGATAACGAAATCACGTCCAAAAAGAAGAAGGAAACGAAGAACTGTGGCCAGGGTACGCGAATCTGTATCGACGAGAAGAGCGAACGCGAGGACGGTTGACCCGCAATAGAGAAGACATTGTCGGACGACACTCGTACGCCAACGAGATTTCTATCGAGATTTATCCGTTTTTTCGAGAAAAGAACAATGTAAAAAAAAAAAAAATATGGAGTTAAAGCGAAGGGAAGCCCTCGATGCCCGAGGCACGCTCGAGAAGAGAAGAATCGCAGCGCAAAGCTCAGCGTTTCGAGCTTGCCTCGTCTGTGCCCGAGGCGCGTTTCGATAGTCGCCTATTTTTATCTTTCCGCCGAGTTACGTGCAGCATTTCGATGCGAGCCTGTCGCTGCGTAACGAATCAACATCGACCGTTTCTTTCCATTCGCCACTCTCGTATCCACCGAGAGCATCGCCAGGAATCTCCAGATCGTTTTTTAAACCTTCCACGACGAACAGTCGATTCGGTCGTGTCGCCAAGTTACCGAGATCATCGACACATGCGCCCGTATCCGCGCGTCTTCTCCGTTCCGAGTATCCGCGTCGTCTCAACGTTAATCCGCGCGGGCAAGGAACGCGCCGGAATAACCGTCAGCGAAGAGTTCGAGCGCGTGCTACCTACGGAAGACGCGACGAAAACGAGCCAGAAGTTGAACCACTAGTCGGAGATGCCTGCGTGAAAGATCCAACGTACACGTTCGAAGACATAGCGGATCATTAAACCTGACATTCGGCAGCGAGAGCGATCGCGCATCGTGCTGTACGATTCGTAGACGAAGAGCTGTTACTCTGAATAGGGGACAAAACACGATGGCTGTGTTACATTTTCCACGGAGTTACTAAGGGGCTGGGAGGGTAATTGGGGAGGGTGGGGGGACGAGAGTATATTGACACACGAGCAGCGGACGAAGATACGAAGAGGATGAGACTCGCGCTAGAAGACGGAGTGTGTCGAATCGCTATTTTCATAGATGGGTAGATACGCCGAGATCGTAGAAATATATTTCTCGCATCGCGGAAATTTCTGACATCGTGGAATGTGATTGCGCACGTGTACACATACCTATATATGTAGCGGATAAAGAAACAAAAAAAAAAAAAAACAGAATACTTTGTAAATTAAGAGGAGCAAAGTGGGAGAGTTGGAAAACCGTGTCGATGACGTGTCGTGTAGCTGGAGCTGGAACGGGGTTGCAGCAGGCAAAGGGGAGGGGGTTGGGGTGGATCGAGAATATGTACAGATAAATGATATAGGGTTTAATAGCGTATACGCAGAGAACCACCGAGAGTACGGACACACACGGACGGAAACACGTCTACACACACCAGCTAAGAAACACTGCCAATACGATTGTAATTAAGAACTCTAGGCTAATTGATCGATTAATTATTCTTACTATTATTATTACGATTAAACGTGTAATCCGATAGATCTCTAGTTGCCGCGGATGTATGAGAAAGAGCGTGTCTCGTTTGCTCCGGTCGCGCGAGCACGCTGATTTACTTTGTAAAACCATCGACGATTAAAACAAAACCCAATTGCGACGTGTTCGTGCGCGGCTGCGACGAAGTGGCGATCACGGGGGTGTACATAGTTAGTCGAAATTATCGATAGATCGCCCGATTGGTACGGGCAGCCTATCCCGCGGGATCAGCCTATCAGCTTGCGACCTCAAGCGAAGAGGATACGTGTTTTTTTTTTCTTTTTTTTTTTTTTCTTTCTTTTCTTAAGTCCGGAACACGTTTGTTTCGAGCGTCTCGCGCTCGGGAAGAACGATCGCGCAGAGAACGCGCGCGCAGGAGAGAAGAGCGATCGACGCGAAACGGAAAGAAAAGGAACGCGTCACTGCCAAAAAATCGCGCACTGCTGGCCGTCGTTTAATGATCGCGGTAGCTGCACACACACCTTAGAGCCTTATTTCCGTTGCGCTATTGCGCGCGCACGCTTCTATATTACTGATTTCGAGAAGCGTGGATCGTTCTTCTTCGCGCGTTACTCGCGCGATCCCTGCGATCGTTCTTACATCGATCACTTCTCTCTGCGAGCGTGTGTACCAAGAGCGCGCCTATCACTATACGTCAACGGACGCGAACCAAGGCACTGCCATTCAAACATAACAGAGGACAAATGTGAAAAAGACATGTATATATAGACAGGGTGTTTACAAAGAACAGGTACAGACTTTGCACACTCGTGGATCTCGTTCAGAAGAACGGATGTTTCTTTAACACTTTGCGGTCGATCGGTATACGACCGATACTCCCTCTTCAACTGTGGTTTTTCCTACGAATTTAACATTTTATTTAGGTACTAGTATTAAGGTGACGACGCTCCAAGTTGCTCTAATGTACAATTTGTATGTTTCTTTTTTACGAATTATAAAAACGTTAGATTCAAACGTTGTGTCCATCTTCTTCGAAGACCGATTCTAAAAGGCTGTATTCAGCTCGAAACGAAAACTCGTACGTTATGTGTTCATATTGTGTTCATGTTAAACATTGTTAAAAGTGACGAGTACTCTTGTTCTCTTATTCTACGGTACGTTAAAATAGATTTTAGAGCTTTTAAATGTTGTTTCAAATTAAATATAGTTTGCTTTCGTGTAAGGCTATTCGAAACGAGTTCCCAACAAGTGTGCGTTTACGTTCGGCACAGTGACGGTTAGTTTCCTTTTTGAAACGAATCTCACGGTTTAAGCGAGCTACTGGATATCGTGAACAGAACGCTATCTAAAAAACAGCGACGCAGTGCCCGTCGACCGATCGCAAAGTGTTAACGAACATACGGAGGAAAGTTACCATTTCAGAGACGTTCAATTTTATTTAGTTAAGTTAACTATCACAGTTCCTGCCTCGTTAACTTATACTTATTCCTACCGCTTAACTGAATCTGACTCGGTTTCGCTGTAAACTCACTTGTAAAATCGTTCACGATGAAAGAACCTTAACACTTGTAAAATTGTAAATAACGCTACTGTCTTTAGAAACGCTGTAAAATAACAACGACGCCGTTGAACTTTTCAATATTTTTACATTCGCGCTATAATTTGAACCAATGTCGAGGAGGTCTCTGGACATGGAAAACCATCATACGGCGGTCAGCGCTTCAAGCCACGCGCGATGTAAAAAAAAGTATCACCGCTTTGTCAGAAAATAAAATTCGGTAGAACCCTCGATAGTTGCAAAACTCGTGTATGCGTTGAAATTCATGTAAATATCAAAGTAGCCGATTCAATAAGAAGGATTTTCACTCACATTACGTATCCTTATTGTCCGTGACCCATTGGTAGACCGTTCCTTCTATAAACGATCTGCTCCTGTCGCGAACCAGACTCGTAAAGATTCTACAGCATTTCCGAAACGTAGTTCCGTCGATCCTTTTGATTTCTTCGACGAGTTCTACAGGTCTGTAAAGCTTGTACCTATAATTTATGAACACCGTGTGTATATATATAGATATATATGTATATGTATAGCTATATCTATGTATACGCGCATCATCCCACCGTTGAACCGTAGGTGCAATCGACCGATTTCGTTTTGCGCGCGGCTCTTCTGTCCGTTTTCCTCTTTTTCTTTTTCTTTTTTTTTCTTTTTTTTTTTTTTTTATTACCCTCCGAGACACGGTCCCTTTTCCTCGTTAACGAATAGAAGCTTCGCTTTACCCATCCGTTTTGTTCTCGTTTCGTTTTTGGCATGTCCCTTCAGTGCCATACACGATCGACCCGTGTGCTGTGCGCGTTCCTTGTGATTTCTCGCGTTCATGTTTGTGTTCATTGATTTATTTCGTGGCGCGATCGATCGTCGTTCCTCCCGCTACCATTCTCGTCGCGTTAGAACCCCCGTTCGATCGTCGCGGGACACAGTTCGATCAATTTTAAGTAAAAGAAACGGTATTATCACGAGTGGGACCAATTTGTCGCGCGCCATAGTGTCGCCTTTTCCTTCCTCTCGTAACGATTGAAAGTTCTTTTTAGGAAATTATTCGAGCGCCACGGAGCGCGAGTTTCTATATTTAGTCGTAAACGGATATCGATCTACTAATTAGGTTTAGATCGCGCGTTGCGTTATTTAGCTAGAAATTATTAAGTTCTATTAGTTACGATTAGAGTAATCGCTTGTTTGCGGCTGCGCGAGAAGCGGACCCGCGGGAGAAACCTTCGGACGTTCGATCGCGCTTGATCTCGTGGTAGTGAATCGTGGCGTTAAATTCCGGGTGAACCGAATGCTCGAAAAGAGGCCTTCGAATCTATTCCAAATTCCGAAATTTCCGTTTCGTTATTCGCGATCGAGCTGGCGACGTTTCTTTTCTTTTTTTGGTTTCTCGACCCCGAAGGCGTTGGCTCGATCGAACAAACGAACGTTCCGTCGCGCGTTTAGCGAGGAAAACGTTGTTTCGCGGAGTAAGAACCCAGAGGCAAAACACCGTATACGGAAAGAAAAGGGGAAAGACGAAACCGTGAGCGTATCGGCACGCGTTACGTTCAATTTCAACGTTAGCTTGTATTTTTCTTTTCCTTCTCTTTTCCCCGTCCCGAGCAGGAACGCGCGTAGCCGTCCTGGCCTCCTTTGATTTCGTTCGAGCATCCCTATCCTCCTTTTTGTACCGAGCGTTATCCGTCGCGAGATAGTTGTATCGACTTTTAACCGCGCGATTCTACGCATTAAAGCAGTAAATGTATATTTTAGCGAGACGTTGTAAAGTTTTGCGTAAGATAACTTAGAGATATTTCATCGTCGTTGGACGCAGGAGCGTGGGAGTGACTTGGTCCGAAGAGTAACCGCCACGGGACGAGAGCGTTTGTTTTTTTTTTTTTTTTTTTGGTCTCGACAGGGATTGTTCCAAGAGCACGGGGTGTCCTCATCGATCGTGGCCGTTTCCTCGGTTCTCGATGTTGCGCTTGTTTTGCGTGTTAAACGTGTGAAAGATAGGAAAGAGAGAGAGAGAGAGAGAGAGAGAGAGATACCGTGAGCGAGCGCGAGAGGGAGAGAGCACGTTGTTACAATAATAAAATGTTAGAGCACCCTGTAAATACGAATAGACGATCGCGATTATTCGGGGCTAAAAGAGATTACAGAACAAAGAAACGGCGGGCGAGAAAGCGTGAGAGAAAGCGAGAGAAGGGAGGGAGGTCAGAATGCATCGGTGGGACGGCGTATTTTTTCAACATAAAATTTAAATAAATAAAAAAAACATTGTGAATGGACGTTGATAACGATTAAATGGAAACGAGGGGACATTATCGTTGGGACTCTCTCCCTCTCCGTCGGATTGACTGCTGCGTGTTCCCTTGGACCATCATTCGAGAACCGCCCCCCTGTTTTCGGCGTTCTTTCGAGAAACGACGAACGTCCGAACGCTGAACGGTTGCTTCGGTGATCATTTTTCAGCGCACAGATCGATCGCGTTGCTCGTAGACGAGGCTCATGTGTTCGTTAAAACGTATTACCGATTATTCGTTCCGCGATAATTGAACGTCACGATGCGAGAAATCTCCGTTCCGATCGGTTTGCCGCCGATCGACGCTCGGGTTAACCCTTGAACGACCACGGTTCCCCGGGATTCCTGTTTCGTTAGCCCGCGCACAGAAGAAAGAGAATTAGAGACGCTATAAATAACGCACTTTACCACGCTAACTATCGAGTTCTACGAATAGAACGTACTTAAGGGTTAAATCGAGCGGGTAAAAAGCGCTCGAACGCTCGGCGTGCCAGCGGCTCGGAATTAACGCGGGCAACGCTCGATCCACAGGTCCATCGATCGATTCGCGTACCATTGACCCGTCGTGCCGGTCAAAGTTCACCGTCTCGAATCAAATTTAACAAACGCCGCTAAGTTTT